GGGTGGGGTCCTTATTATAAGTATAGTACAATATGAGCGCCTTAATAATTACCTACACTATTTTTTTGGGGGGTTCCTTTTTATCATCATAGTATACTATAGGCGCCTCAATGATTACTTGTACTATTTACTAATTTGGGGGGTTCCTTATAAACATCATAGTATACTATACCCCCAAAGCCCTATCCTAAGGCTTAAGGCTCCTAAACCCTAAACCATTATAGTAGCCCTTATAGAACCCTTTCAGGAACGATTTCTCGCCCTATGAAACCCTATTCTAGTTATTAATTCTTAAGGCCCCTGCATTCAATCTCTTATCCTTAAGGCCCCTAAACCCTATCCTAAGTCTTAAGGCCCCTAAAGCCTAAACCCTAAACCCTAAGACCCCGAACCCTAAACCCTAAACCCTAGAAACTGAACCCTAAACCCTAAACCCTAGAAACTGAACCCTAAACCCCAAACCCTTAACCCTAAACCGTGATCCCGAAGTTCTGCGATTCTTCAGGTTCCCGTTCCTAAACGCTAAGCCCCGGGGCTGTCTCCTAGTAGCCAACCTCAACCTGCCCTGTCGTTTGGAGGTTAGGGTTTAGGGTTTAGGGTTTAGGGTTTAGGGTTCAGGGTTTAGGGTCTATAGGGCTTAGGGTTTGGGGTTTAGGGTTCAGGGTCGTTTATGGTTTAGGGTTTAGGTTTCAGGGTTTAGGGTCTATAGGGCTTAGGGTTTGGGGTTTAGGGTTTAGGGTCGTTTAGGGTTTAGGGTTTAGGTTTCAGGGTTTAGGGTCTAGAGGGCTTAGGGTTTGGGGTTTAGGGTTTAGGGTCGTTTAGGGTTTAGGGTTTAGGGTTGGAGCCTCTGTAAGCGACCTACAGTCCCCATTTGTAAGCTCCTTTGATTTGAGGATCCTATAAAATAACCACCACAAAAATTAGCTGCAACGGAGACAAGAGGGCTTAAAGTTTAGGGTAGGACCCTGTAACATAACCCAAAAAAGGGAACTACAATGGAGACTCTAGGTACTGACATTTCTGCGCCAAGGGCAGGGAAGCCTATCGACAATCATAAGAGAACCTGCAGTCAGAAGACCAGAGCGGAAGATCTTGCAGCCTAAACCCTAAACCCTAAACCCTAAACCCTAAACCCTAAACCTACAGTACATCTCCAGAGCCCGGAGGCCCAAAACCCGAATGCCTCCAACCTAAGTTAGCTCAGAAAACCCAGAGTTGGGGACGCCGCACTTTGAGGATCAGCTCAATACCACCGAGATCCACAATTCTCGACTGGTTATCCACCTCAATGAACGCAGGATTCAGGGGGCTGTGGTAGGCTTCCTGTTAGAGTCTAGGGATGCCGGCAGCTAACTCTGTAAAACCACCGAATTGCGTCAGCAGCCTAAGCTCGTTGAACACATACCCCCTAAACCCTAAACTCTAAACCCGAAACCCTAAACCCATACTCAACATTCAAGACGGCACGCACATCGGAATGATGGTCGAACGAAGACCGGAGCGGGCTGCGGATGATCCCCGGAATTCTTGGATATGCAAAAGATGCTTTAGGGTGCAATAGAAGCCATTTCTTCCAAGTCTCCCATAGGCCATTAGGGGTTGGCTTTCGGATTGCGCAGGGTGCTTAAGGTTTCGGGCTTTAGGATTCAAGGTCTCAGGCTGCATATCGTCTGACGGCCGGAAAAACTCCACACACCTCAAACCCTAAACCCTGAACCCTAAACCCTAAACCCTAAACAGCCGGGGTAGCTGCGTCAATAAATGTAAGGTTCTCCAGGGCAGCGCACACCTGGAGGGCCGGGCGGGTCGGACTTCTCTGGGAGCTGCTTAGGGTTAAGGGTTTAGGGTTTAGGGTTTTAGGGTTTAGGGTTGAAGGTTTAGGGTTTAGGGTTTAGGGTTCAGCAGCTCCGGATCGAGCAGTTTTATAGTAGAGTTGTATTCACGGTTTCGATATAACACCC